GAGTACAGCAGGAACTGCTTGTAGTTGGACAATGTCTTAAACATTCACATCTACTCTGAAAGGGAATAAGTGTGTTCTATCTACAGATTCCATTAAATCTCGAATGTGAGTACGGTTTGGCACTTATTGCATTATAATTCTATAAAAGTATTTCAAATATATCTGAAGTTCAAAATAAGTTTAATTACACCAAACTCACCTGTAGAGTGTCGAATGTATAAGCTGAAAACTATTTATAAAAAAGGGTTATTTCAAAAACTATCAAACTGAATCATTACAGTAGCTTCCTTTCCTAACTGAAACCCAAGAATAACACCCAATCAAATGAATCAGTCTGATTCACCTCTTAATATTGTCAAAATTTGTAAATGGGATTTCCATGAATTACCTAAGCGAACAACTGGATCAAACAAAAAAATTTGGACTGACCACTCCCTATGACCACATCCGGATGTGGTCATAGGGAGTGGTCCCAGAATGTCAACTGCGATTCTCTCGAAAGGGCTCCCACTGAAGTACTGCCTCTTTGCATTGTCTTCGGGCCCTTTCTCGAAAAGCTCAGGTCCCAGCGCTTACACCACTCTTCCACGTCTCGACGGCAATTGACCCAATAGTACCTCTCGTGCACTCTCTAGTTCTCTAGAGTTCTATTTACTCCGAAATGCCCTCCAGTGCGACCATCGTGGAGCTGTTCAAGGATACCCGGGATACATGTCTTAGGAAGGATCATCTGGATGGTTCTTCCATCTGGGCTTTCCCATTTCCGAGTGAGTAGGTCATCTCGAATGCTCATGGAGTCCCATTGGAGCCAGTAACCCTTTGGCTCCTTTGGCAATCCATTCTCGTACAGTTTTCAAGACGGGATCTGCGCTACGATGATGTCTTGCCTCGTCAGGAAGGTAGTATCACCCTCAGAGGCTGTTAACGACCGCACCACACCATGGTCAGGTAATTCCTCAAAAAATCGTAAGTTTACAACTTTTCGATCCACGTAGCTACGTATTTGTCCTTCTGGTGTTTTGAAGTTGAAGAGCCACCGAAGTGATGAGTGGTCTGTTTCGGGATTGATAAATAATCGCGATGTAGTTGAATTGAGGTAAAGGGAGTCATGCGCGGAGAATTGTCTAGTTCAGTTGAATTTCCTACAAAGTTTGGAAGTTCTTGAGGAAGCTTTGAATGAGTTGAAATATTGAGATATTTCAAGTCACTGTTTCGAGAAGTGATATTGCTATTTGGGAGTTTGTCGCATTTTAATTGGCTGGCTGACTTGAGGTAAAAAGTCAGGAGCGTACGAACTTAGAAGTAGGTCAGTTGAACTTCCTACAGAGTTTGTGAAATTATTGAGAGATTTCGCGTAGTAATTGGGTTTTGATAATTATTCGCGGTTTGATTCAATTAGTTGATTTAGAGATGATGATGGGACTTGGCATTGAGGTAGTGGTTAGTATGGGTAGGTTTTCGGTAGACAGTGTGTGAGAAGCAGTTGTTGGACTTTGTGATGAGAACGTCCAGGAAAGGGAGTGAGTTATTATTTTCCAAGTCCATTGTGAACTTCAGGTCGGGGTGTAAGGAGTTGATGTGGTTCAGGAATGCATGAAGATCTTCGGAACCATGGGGCCATATGACAAAGACATCATCCACGTATCGAAGCCAACACGTGGGTTTGAGATGAGACGTGTCAATGGCTCTGGTTTCGAAGTCCTCCATGTAGAGGTTTGCAAGGACTGGAGAGAGAGGAGAACCCATTGGGGCGCCTTTGACTTGTTTGTAAAATTTGTCCTGGAAATGAAAATATGTGCAGGACATGCAGTATGCTTATCACCACCAGTATGCTTATCAAACCGGCAAATCGACAGATTTAGCATTAAACAACCTTGAAGAGAAAATTTCCCAATCCCTTGGCAACAAGGAGATTGCGGTTGCTGTATTTCTCTATATAAAAAAGCATTTGACAATACACTACCTAAATCTATCTATAGGATCATCTCTGGCTAGGAAAGGTATAGAATCGAACATAACTGGCTGGACCTGTGACATGCTGGTAAACAGAACTGCAACTACGATTCTGCAAGGCGAGGCCATTAGGTTGAAGATTACCAGAGGCTGCCCCCAAGGTGGGGTACTATCTCCCCTTCTGTGGTGGCTCCTGATGGATAGTCTGCTTGATGCCCTCGACATGCTTATGTAGATGACCTTGTCATCTTGGCAAGGTCTACGTTGGGAAGGGTAGCTTGTAATATCCTTCCCAAAGCACGATGGACGTTGTTCACAGTTGGTGCCTGAGGGAGCAGTTGTCTGTCAACTCCAGCAAAACTGTGATACTCACCAGGAGGAGAAAATTGGCCACTTTCCCTCAATGGTGAGGTCATTGTATTTGGAACGGAGATGACATATCTTGGCGTTGTCCATGTTAAAAAACTCACCTGGAACGCTCATTTGGAAAAAGTTTTACACAAAGACAGACTGTCCCTTTGGACATGTCGAAGGATTTGTGGTAAAACTTGGGGTTCAGGTTCCAAACAAATCCATTGGATTTATGTGATGATTGTCAGAACAATGATCACTTATGGTGCAATTGCCTGGTGACCGAAGGCTTTACAGAAAACGGCCCAAGCGAAGCTCTCTGGCTTACAGAGACAGGTTTGTCTGGCCATCAATGTTGCCAGTACCACACCGTCAGCGGCATGGAGATCCTTCTAGAGCTACCTCCTCTCCACACTTTTCTAGAGAGAGAGGCTAGATGGACTGCATATACAGGGTGTAACTAAATAAGTGTAAAACATTTAAGGAGGTGATTCTTCACCGAAAAAAAGATAGGATCTTTCATATAAAGAAATTGCATTGGAGCATCCTTTGTTAAGATAGAGCCCCTTAAAAGGTGTACATAAAATTTGTATAACAATTTTTTTCACAATATTGAAATTAACCTGACGTTTTGTATTACCAAATAGACACTCAGCCAGAAATTTATTTGGTTTACCCCTTGGTTGTAAGGGGTGGAAAACGCAACCCCTAAAATTTATTTCCAATGTAACTTTTTGTCTTATTATTTGTTTACCATTTAAAAATTTATTTCCGATAGCCTGTTTCATTCTAAATAAAAACCTGTTCGCAGCAAAAAATTATTTTACGAACAACTACAGAGGTACATCGTCATAAATGCGAGAATACGAAACTAATCTATTTAGTAGGTCGCTATTAGTGATAGTGACAATTAAATTGGTATGACGCTGTCAGTTTGTGAATTTTCGAAATTGAATTAATACTAATTGTGTGTTGTTGATCTGTTCTTAATTTGTTACTTTAATAATTCACTTGTTATTAAAATGGCATACACAAATGAGGAAATGGCTGATATGCATTACGTTTACGGTCTGTCGCAGGGGAATGGGTTAGAAGCTTCTAGAAGATATGCTGAAATGTATCCTCAACGGCAACATCCTTCACATAGAATATTTGCTCGACTTCATCAATGATTACGAGAATATGGTTCATTCGACAAAAGAACGCAGGATTGTGGTCGCCATCGAGAAGTACGAACACCACAGCTTGAGGAAGCAGTACTTAATTTGATTGAAGAACAACCTACTACCAGTACTAGAAAGATTGTTTTCCAGCTGAATGTTGATCATATGACGGTATTTCGAATTTTAAAGGAACAACTCTTATACCCTTACCATCTGCAACGAGATCAGACACTGTTACCGCGTGACTTTCCGAACCGTCTTGAATTTTGCAATTGGATGCTGGAAATGATTAGAAGAAATTGTGACTTTCTGAAGACCATAGAATTCACAGACGAATGTAGTTTTTCTCGGGACAAGATTATTAATTTTCATAATTACCACATATGGGCTGATGAAAACCCTCAGGCTATCGTCGAAACTAACCATCAAGAACAGTTTTCTCTTAACGTGTGGCTCAGAGTTATTGGGGATGATTTAATTGGGCCTCATTTTCTACCTCCTCGAATAAATGGTGAGGCATACGTTCAATTTTTAAGAGAAGTGCATCCAGTATTGCTGAAGGAAGTTCCTTTGGGCGTCAGAAGGGACGTATGGATGTATGGACGGGACGTAAGGGATGTATGGACTTCTGGCCGAATTTCCAGAATTGGCTTACTCCAAGGCGTTTATTCACCCTTCAAAGCTTGATACCCACTGTTGGACTACAGTAGGGATGAACTTCGATGTCTAACAGGCATGCTTACAGTGCACTGTCATTTGAATCATCATATGCAGAAACTCGGACTGTCGGAAGACAGTGTATGTCGCCTCTGTTTGGAAAATGATGAAACATCAGAGCATGCCCTGCCCCGCTGGGAACCGAATCAGGTTTTTAGAGGTCAGCAGAGCCGTACTCTTACCATCTGACTTGAAAGACCACTCACCATACAAACTAATCGGCTTCGTTAAGAAGCTGGGTTTATTTGGTTGAGTGTGAATAGGTGTGAGACACAATAAACCCTTACGGGTTGCGGTAGAGGGTCCAATAGTCCCACTCACTTTGTACCTAACCTAACCTACAATAACATTTTTTTTTTTAAATATAATTTCAATCTTGACCTCAAATTTTGCCATTGCTCATATTAGCATCATTAACGGTAACAATTAATTTTCATATTTTATTAAACTCAAAGTATTCATTGATCCAATTTTCAATTTATATAATAACCTGATATTAATAACCAGTTCACGTATTATGATTTTTGCTAACAACCACAGTGATATTTTTTAATTATTCACAATCATGTGCTTCTAGTGAACTATGAACGAGTACAGCACCATTAATAATTTGTTCGAATGATCGATTTGTTTGTGGAGATAATATTGCTTTCTCAGTCATTATTGCACAAAACATTACGAAACTTTTAAACTACCGCTCTTTCAACGTAGCTCTTGTCATATGATGAAAAGGCTTATTCGTGTTGAGTGCTGCAACCTATTGTCAAATTATTTAAATAATGCTAGTGATGATTGTTGTATCAGGGAACACATATATAGCTTTGTGTGTTGTATCTTTGTATAATAGACTCTATATACCTATTGACTTTATCACATTTTACGTAGTTGGCATTTTTGACATTGTTGACAAGAGAAGATAACCATAACCTCGAATTCGTCAAATTTGGAAATGTAAATATGAAAATAAAATCTATTTTATTTATGAACATATTTCCTAACTAACGGACTAGCGTTCGTTCACTGATTATAAACAGTTAAATAGGTGAGTTTCAGTTTTGGATAAATTGATGACACACTTTCCAAATGTATTCAAGGTATATTTATATATATTTTGTAGAACATGGAAAGTAACACAGCAGGATGGATTGGTTTAATAGTGGTTTTGTGCATAGCAAGTTTTGGTGTCTTTTGGCTAGTAATTATTGGATTGAGTTTATCAATATTTTCTGTGGGGTGAGTAGCAGGTTCAAATCTTATTTTTATATTTTCTCTAACAAAACATAAAATATCCAGGTGCAAATTAAGATTTTATGAGCTTAAAGAAAAACGAAGTCTGCTGCCTCCACAGGCTACCCAATAGGTGGGTTGATGCTCTTCTTGTATACAGCACAGCATGTTTGAATGACATAAACCCTGCTCAAATCTTCTAGCTAGGCCATGAAACTTGGTACATTTTGTCAGTACTAATCAGTGCAGCAAGATAGATTGAATTTTCCCATTATCGTTTAGTTCGACAAGTGTTTTTTAGGCAAAAACACTAGATTTGATGATACCATGGACGTTTTACTGAAGAAAATTTTCACAACTTATTTGTCACAAGACAACTGAAAAACTAGATACAAAATTAAGTAGCTTCACACTTCCACTAGCAGACCCTGCGCTACAATTATCAAGAAAATGAGTAATATTCTGGGAGATTTTATTCCACTTCTAGAGAACATAATGACTAGAAGACTGATTTTCTGAGAATACCATGTTCTTTTTGAGCTGGTTAATTTAATGCGTAAATATGAATGAATAGAAGAAGGGTTAAATATATCTTTCCTCCAATGCCAAAACTGTGAATGTGCAAATTTGTAGTTTTGAGAAAACACCAATTAAATGTTTAAATGAGCACTTGAAATACGCCTTCTTTATAGAGTGTATAATTAGTATTTTTCACTGTACGAGTTGCAAATTGAATTTATATTGAATTCAATTTTCATCAAACAATTTCATTTTTTGAAAAAAGAGCATATTCGTTGTTTTGGTTTTGCAAAAAGGTAAAAATATGTATTTTTCGTGTTTAAAAAAAATTAATTTTGTCATCAACTGTTTTATTTGACAAAATTTTTGACTTTTACAAATTAAAAATTAACTTAACCTAGAAACTTGAATCAAACAAAAATTCAGATGAGAAAAACAAAAAGAAAATAACAAGAAACAAAATAACATTTACTTCATATCTGTGGTGCATCAAACACTGTCGCTTTCATTGGCATCTGGTTCTGATAAATTATCCCGAACATTTTTGTTACTTTTCAAAGTTTGATAAAAATTATGGTATGCTTTGGGTATGCTTAAATCTTTACACATTTTTTGTAAATCTTTCAATTTAGCCTCACTTATGGCTAGTGGACCCGTATAGGCATTGTTTAATACTATATTATCTTGTTTTGGACGACCGCGACCCTGACTTTTTGTGTAAGAACAATCTACTTCGATGAAATCTTCTGCATAGTCTGTCTTATAAAATACTTTCGACTGCTGTTTCTTGATGTAATGGAGACAGCAAACTCTTCTCCAGGGAATCTGGTTAAAATTAAATGAACTTTCTGAAAAGGTTTTGAAGTCAACAAAATCGTCGAATATCATGGTCCTTACGTTAAAAGGTTGAGGCGTTATTCGCAAATCCCTAATAACTTGTGCCCATCCCTCAGGCGTATAAACTGGTACGTGCTTCGATTTCTTTTCTATTTTGGAGTGTATAGAGTCGCACTCCATTTTGGTATGCCCAGTCTCAAAGAACTGATGGTCGCCTGTATTTAAAGTTGGATGATTAAGGCAAAGTTGGAGACACATGCTTGCAAAAACAGAGTTTTTTTGCTGCCCACCGCATCCGTCGGACATCATGCGAACCTCACTGATTTCATTGTGAGACATGATAAAGTCATATATGCATGATGCAATCTCATTCGCACCCCTTTTACCTTGTGTCTCATTTCAAAGGTAACACCTTACACCCTGATTTCCCAAATTATATACTGTCAAATTATACACTGCTAGCTTTCTAAGATAAAAAATTTGCCCTGCAGACCCTTTTGGTGTAGTTAGCACTGCCTGCAGATCAAAGTTGAAAGCTAAAATGCTCCGATTTTCCTCTGCTGAAGATTTGTCATAGTCGCGAGCGTCTCTGGCGGCCTCCTTCCTTTCCAGATGTTTTTTGTATTCTAATTCATTTGCTATTTTCTCTTCCTCTGATAAATGTTGTGCAAAGCATCTTCTGCACTGGTCTTTTTTGGGTCTAAAAAAACCTAAGTTATATTCTTTGAATATTTGTCTATACTTCTCCATTGTAACTGGTCTTGAACTTTCTGAATTGCAAATATCTTTGTAGATTACATTTATGTTTTAGTTTTGCCACACATGGAGGTGCTAAAAGAGGTCGCGGAGGTTTTTGAATTCCACAATGCCCAGTATATGATTCTCCTCGAACCCTTTTAGCTTTTTAGATATTTTTTTCCATTTCGCCGGATTTTTTAACTTTCTTTTAGACATTTTCTTCTGCTTGATATCTTCAGTCATCTGAATGGAATGGTGTTCTTTTTCTTCATCTGAATTTTCGTCCGAAGTAATACTGTCTGTTTCTGAACAGCTTGATTAGGGTTCATAGTTGTCAGATGATGAAGCGGAGAAATCTAAATCTTCCAACAGTTGACTTTCAGAAATAGTTGGGAGAATTTCAGAATGCAAATTTTTGGTTTCGTGTAGATCCAAATTATCAACAGCATTATTTTTACAAGATTCTTTTGGTAACTGTGTCAAATAGCTCATAGCTGAAACCAATAAGAAATGAATTATAAGCAGTGAATTATTATAAGTAAGCCGAAGACAAAAAGCTCAAAATTTCAACACAAACCAGAGCAATCGAGAATTTACCTTCCATGACCATAAATTCAGGACCTGATTTATGATCAAATACTCTATTTGGAGTATTCATTGGAGGCTCAGACAAATGTTTAGTAAGGCACCAAACAACGAATAAGCGTAAACACTATTAACAACACTGCTAAAATCACGAATGTGGTACATTCGTGAACCTACTTGAAAATGCAGAAGAAGTTACAACGGCAAAACCAGCGCTTCAGGCGTTGGAACCAAACTGAAGTTGACACTCTCGCGAAACAGCCAACAGTTGGTGGAGGGGGTGTAGGCGGTGTAGGCTCACAGACGAATTCGTGCTTTTGGCATTGAAATCTTTGAAATTTATTATTATTGCCGGTGCACATAGGTGAAAAACCGAAAATTTGCACATTCGCGGTTTTGGCATTGGAGGGACGATATATAACCATATCTTGAGTGCCCTGCTTGAGTTATAAGCTCTGGAGTAACATTTTTTTTTTTTTCAAATATCATATAACAAAAAACAGAATATAAAAATACATATTTATATGTCATAACACATCATTAATATGTAAAAATAGATTTACATAGATTTACAGATTTACAGAGAGTGTCTTTGTAAATCCTCAACTTTTCAGAAAAACGAAGACTCAAAATTTCTAGTTCTTCCATATGATCCAAATTTTCAAAAAATTCAACATGAAAATGTCTTTCAAAATTGCTCGTACACTTCAACAAGTGTTAGACAACTTGAAAGACAAGACAGTAAGAGGGAAAAAGTTTGAGAGTTACGATATAACATGTGAGGATTCAAAAAAAAATTGTGCTGGTCCTAAGCGGACTGTAATAACTTGTGCAAGGAACATGCTTCACATATTCAGTTTCATAAACTAGAAAATTATATTGTTGCTCAACGTTCTTTAGGGAACGACCTCTCATTATTGAAGATAATGGTTCGCCCATATGTATGTAATGTAGTTTTAGTCATCTGAGGATTGCTAACTTGGTTAGCGAAACACGCCTCGAGAGATTTTATTTTTGTTATGCCCAACAAATATTTGAAGCATTGATCAAATTTAGTTATTGCAATATAAAATAGAAACTCAAGTTTTGTTTACAATGAATTTACAAATTTGATTTGAAAGAGATTTCTTTTGCCTTTTTGGATTGCAGTTCACAGTAGTTATTTGGTAATACCATGTTTATTGAATATTAATCATGACTAGTATCAAAATTATATTTTATATTCCTACTCCAACCATGGTAAGCAAAATATCATTAGCATGAAAATGTGTGTAACTCAAATTCAAAATAAATACCCATCATTCCTTATTTCAGGTTTATTTCTCTTCTGTACTTACAACAGGGTGACATAGAAAAATTTTACATAAAATGTGCGGGAAATCCACTAACTTCAAACATTCTCACCGAAGGAGGCCTGAAGCAGATCGTGCAACAATTGGAAAGTCCAAAGAAAGTACAAAAAACCGATAGTAGAGTAACTGGCAGCGAATTGATAGATAGTTCCTTACAAGAAATATTGGGTTACATTATCAGGGATTATGTTTCGTCTTGGTACAGTTTAGTGACACGAGATATTGAGTTTACAGACGTTACTGTGCGCCATAGTGCACAGACATTTGCTATTAATATATCTAACAGGTATTGTAATTGTATTGATAGACTTGAGCTACTCTAGCTATTTGAATTTTAGAGTGAAAGAAGTGGATTGGATACCTTACCTTACTCAAAGATTAGTAGATGATGCAGCGTCTCATTTGAGATTATACAAACAAGCTAGGGCAAAAATGAAACTACAGGAAATTGCAAAACAACAAAGAAATTCCCCACAGAGGGATAAAACATCTCCCAAAAAAAGTATTCATAAGAGAAATAAAAGTGAAACTGATATTAGTTGGTATATCGGAAGATCAATTGAACTGAAGAGAGGTATGTTCAGGTTATTTACATATTTTGGTATATTCTGTGAATAATGAAAAAAAAAAGTTAGTTAATAGTGTTGACCGTCATGTCTTTTGCCAAAGTTTATTTAAACAATTTTAATGTAACTCGTATGTTTACTTATTTTGAAGTATTATACGAAACTTTCAATTATACTGAAGCTTAATCTTATCTATTAATTATTTTAGATTCAGAAAAAAATATAGGAAATTCCAAGTTTTATATTGGTGAAAACAAAAATGCATTACTTGAAGATCATTTTTTTGAGTTGGAAAGACAAATGGAGAATAATCTTATGTGTAGAGATCTTATATGTAGAAATTTGGAATCTGAGAAAGGTACGTAAATCTTAATGAAAAAATGAAAAATATATCAAAATAATACATATGTAATTTTGAGAATACCGAATGATGAAGTTCGAGTTTGACTTCTCAATCATAATAACTTTCAATTTATTTGTGTGTTTTTTATATGTTAACAATTTTTGACCCTCTGCCTGGAATACTAGTAATACTAGTGACTAGTGAAGACGCATCTGGGGGCCATCATTTAAGTGTGTCAATCTTGCATCTGTCAATGCATTAGCGACATCGTATTTACGCTTTTTGAGGCATTTTTCTAATAAATCATATATCTTCTCAGATATATTAATGATAAATAATATGGAATATTTTGTGTATGTCATAATATTCATCAAATAATATTTGTGTATTATATTGATGTGATGGCTGGTAAATAACTTAACATTCAATTCAAAATTTTGTTCCAAGTATTAAAGGGTAACACATTTGTTTTCAGTTAAACCTTTCTGTATAATTGACGAAAACAAAAAGTGCCCACAATAAGTGAAAAAGTGTCTCAAAAATATGTTCCTCATGGTTGGTAACAGCAGTCAATATGAAGGATATTTCCTACAAAGGGGTATGAATACATAGGTACTCTAGGTAAAGGGTTAAGAAAATTATATAAGTGGACATTTTGAAAAAGTAACACTCCAAGGGTTATATCCCTGATTTTCTATATCTTTATATGGTATAACAAATATTCAAACTTGCCAAAAGTATACTTAATGAAATAATTTAAGGTATAAAATACCATGTGATATCTCATTTTTCTTTACAGAGTTCCTCTGTGAGCTTGTAGAAATTCTTCTGTACATTCTTCTTCCCGATGAGGATTTTCAGTGTAAACCATTGCGTTATGTACTGCGAGAAATGTTTGTTAATTGTGTTATTTTACCTCTATTCAACTTGGTCTCTGACCCCGATTATATTAACCAGGCGATTATATGGCTGGTAAGTATTGTCCGAACTCATGAAAGAAACATTTTTTATAATTTCTGTAAGGATCTAGTGCAACATGATAAGAAACTTAATTATGAAATTGACAGCACTTTTCAAACATGTTGATGTATTGTAGCATTTCATTTTTCCACTTTTCATTTTATACTGTTTGCCGATACAATCTGAACATGAAAAAACCCTTTTTGCCAATCTTAACTTGTAGATTGTAACATACCAATTATTTAAAATTTCTTTTCTCACAGATCTGGGATACTTCTGAGCACTCTACAGTAGTACTCCAAATAAATCATAAGCAGTATGCAGTCTATTTAAAGTACATATTGTTCAATTTCATTATTTTTTTTCATGTTATGGTTAGGTATACAAATAGATGTCAACTAATCTTCTTTTGTTCAGTCATAAAGTTATTTTCATAGTGATTAACGTAGAAGGAGAAGTGAGTATGGTCTATATGAAGTCAATCCAAACAGCTAAATAAAAGACTATGTACATTACTCTTTACTAATGATGAATTAATCCGTGTAGGATTATGAAAAAAAATCATAAAAAGCATACAAGCACAAAATATAAAAGTGTAAGAACCGCTAATAATAATTTGAATTAATTGGACACAATGAAAAATTCGTCTTGGACATGTCTTGCTGCACTGCACTGTGAAACACGTCTGAGATGTCTACTGCTGAAGACTACCGCTATCCCGGATCTCGAGAATCAGAGGAGTCTATGTGGTGGAGCGTAACACAATAGCCTTGAGTTTTCTTGATGGTTTCTGGAAATAGTATTTTGATGAGAAGATGTAAGGTTTAGTATACTAAATCCTAGGGTAATACCCTGTACTTTGTTGTACTTCCTATGGAAGCTATCACTGGAAAGAGTAGAAACAGAACCTTGACACTCTGATTTCTTTATCCAGTGACAATTTATCTTTAAGTATTTTAATTAATTCATTTCAAGGTTGGGAATGCAAACTCCCAGGTAAACTATATCTCCTATCCCAGTGTAACTTAGTTGGTCTACAGCGACAGGTGTTGAAAAGGGGTGCAGTATTTCTAGAAATGTCTGTAGAGGGTGTTTGAATAAGAGCTTTCAATTTGGTAACCCCGCACTTATCTTCAAATATATAAAATTAACTTGTCAGAGTGTTAGTTGCCATACTCCTCGAAAACTGCTCAACCGATTTTCATGAAATTTTATTATGTATATTCGGTAGGTCTGAGAATAATTTTATTCTATTTTTTTCATACCCCTAAGTGATGAAGGTGTTCCACCCCAAATTTTTTTTTCATTCTTTGGACAAAATTTTTTGTTTTTAGTTTTTTATAATGTAGCATTAGAAAATACATATAACCCTCAATTCAATTCAATCAAATTCCATCATTTTTAACCCTGATCATAAATTAGTTATTCCCGCCAGGCGTCTACCGGTGTCACTTCCCACTCAGTAAACAGCACTGAGTAGGGATGAGAACGAAGCCGGTTCACAATAAGCCTTTTCTCACTCCCTACACAGTTTTCGGACACTCATTGTTAATCCATCGAGCGTAGATACAGTTTGCGATGCCCTCGAAGCTGTGAATTATCCAACAGAGTTTTTGAATACATTGGATTTGCCAGCCATGTCACCGTATAATTCACAACTGGGGTTTGGATCGCTCCGTAATTTGAATCCACCACGGCTGTGCAACGATACGCAATTAGTCATTAAGAAATTAATGAAAAACGTTGTCCGTGCCAGCATTTCAAATGGCAAGTTCCAAGGTGAAAATATATTGATACCATGAATCCCTATTATACCTACAGATGTGCCAATTCATTTCAAACGTGTGTAATTTGCAATGACTATTGATAAGTACCAATGCTATACAAAGTTCGTTTGTGGCTTGGATTTGAATACACCATGTTTTTCACACGGGCAATTATACGTGGCATGCTCTCGAGTGGGCAAACCATGAAGTTTATTTGTGTTAGCTAAACATTGACTAATGAAAAATATTGTACACACTATAGCATTATGGGATTCATATTATTGGTAAGTGTTATTTTAAGCTATTGTATAGCGAAACACGTGTCGCGGTTTTTGTAAAACCCTTATAGTGAAAATCATAGAATAAACTCTATTGATTAGTTTTTTAATTTTGTTTTATTCGAGAGAGAAAATCCATACATGCCAGGTGAAGCTTAATTAATTTTATCGATTCGAGCATTTATTCGTCTTCAGAAATATTTATGTTTTTTGTTTTCCATATTTCAGTGTTTACGTGAAAACCAGCTGCCAAGTGATATTTTTTTAACAACTCTAAGACTTACAGATAACTGTGATGAATTGAGAAGTACCAAAGATTTAGTAATGCAGGAAATACAATCTCTGGTAATATTGGTCCATCATATTTACATATTATTTGAGCATAAATTATTCGTTTTGTAGAGATCTAGGGATTCTGGAGGGGAGAGCGATTTATCAGTAAAGCAGCAGCTGAGTAGTTTATACTATGTACTGAAACTAATTGATAGCAAGTTATCAAAAATGGAAAATATGGACGCTTCAGGTAAAAAAACAATACTAGAGTAGATTGCCTTATTATGTTTCAGGAAAAACTTTTTTCAAATTTTTTGTTGTAAAAGTTTATACAACTTGTATTTCTACAATCAATGAAGCAAGTTTAAATAACAAAGCAGGCAATATTCACTTGAAAATGTTTTACTGAATCAGAAATCCAAGCAAAATAGAACATTCTTGAGCGTAAGGAAAATTAAATAATGAGATCAACATTATACTGGTTATTTTCCTATGAGCATTATCATTTTTGTTATCATGGATATCATTCAACTGTTCAAATGTTAAATGTTTAGTCATTTAATATAACAACTACTTTAGCAAATACAACTGAATAAAATGTTCATTGGTAATAAATATTTCAGGCTTTACTTTTCGTAAACTTAAAATATATCTAACGAAAATTCTTATTCCATACATAATAACTGTTACACTCAACGCATATTTCATCAATCAAATTGGCGTCATCATTAGTGTTTTTGTTAAATTGCAACACTATTTGTAAATATCATATTTTAAATTGATACTATATGTTACCAAGTAATATGCTTTCCAAAATTGTTCCATAATTAGAAATGTTCTTAGACTATTATCAGTGATATGAAGCATTAGTTGACAGTAGTTAACTATTTATTTTGAAATATTTTCATTTTGTAGATGGGCAATCTTCTCTGGACTACATTCAAATGGAAAGTATTAAAAAAATTGACCTAAGCCTAGATCAAATTCTAAAAAACAATATAGCATTATCATATTTTATTGATTTTGTTTCTAGTCAAGAAAAGCAACTGGATCTATTTTTCTATTTAAATGTTGAAGGTATTTGAATCAGTCAGGATGAAGTCCTTCCATTTTAAATGGCATTTCATTCAACAGGTTGGAAAGTGTCAGTCGAACAACAACTATCAGACCTTCACCTGAACAAAATGTTAAAAGGTTCTAATGAAAGTAGTTCTCTTGTATATGAAAATATCCGTTCCACCGCTTATAGCATCTACGAACAGTACTTAGGCGAAAGGTGTGAACAAAAAGTACAAATAAAAGCAGCCCTAGTCCAAGGCTTGTATTTCAAAATAAGAAATTTGAACGAGACTCCATCAGAATTGTGGTTCGACGGTGTTCTTGAGGCGATGCATGAAAAAATGGAAAACACTTTCCTTCCAATATTCAAAAAGAGTAAAGCATATGTAAAATTGTTGCAGGATCTCGATTTACTTCAGCAAACTAATGTCGAAGATGACACAATCAGTATCAATAGTAATGATAGTTTAGAAAATAATGAAACTGCATTGCCTCCTTTGCAGACTCTGAAGAAGGGCGATTTTCTAACGGTAGAACACACTTCAAAGAATGTTAAACATGTCAGGTCATTCAGTGATGTGACGATGCTAATAGAAAAAAGTGATGCTAATGGAAAACTACGAATTTCAAGTCAGGATCCCAGAATAACGGACCAAGAAAATGAATTGATCTGTGAAAATGATAACAAAGAAAAAGAAGAAACTCTCAAAAGCGGGGATTTTACTTTGTCAGTTAATATTATAGAAACGGGTGAATATTTACAAGAGCTTGATTTTTTCCATTGAAGCTATTTACTTCGTTTCAGGAATTGTTTGTGAAAAAGGAAAAACATTTGGTATATATGCCATAAGGATAGGTAGACAGTATGAAACTGGTTACCAAGAAGAGTGGCATATTTATAGGCGGTATAGTGATTTTCACGATCTTCATACAAAGGTGAAAGAGAAGGTATTTATTCTCTCTTTGAATTAAATTTATTGAATGAATGAATAATTAGAATTGGCTTTTTAAATCATAATTCAGTTAATTTTTATTCAGCATCATTCAAGAAAAATATGTTATTTTCAAATGACTCTGGAAAAAGATTATCAATTCAAATATAAGTGGCATTCAAATATTATAGATCCAAACACTTTGCTGTTTGCTAATGAGAGGTAATACCTCAAAACCGGTCTGTAGGTGATCTACTCGAATAATTTCAGAATGGTCCTGCTGCTGAATGAACGAGAAACATCTGTGAGACTAACCTCTGAGGTATCTTGCATAAATGTCTGTCGGATATACTTCAATATTCAGCGTGGTATTAGCCAGGAAGCAGTAATTTTCCGGCAGACATTTACTATAACCTACTGCGTAGGTAGTTGGGGGAGATGAATATTTGAAGATTTTATTTTGAAATATTTATTTTCTTATACGTATGTATCTCTCCTCGATACATTCTTCAAACGAATATACTCGTAGTTCTCTACCGAAGGAACTCAAAAGTATCGTAGCCTTCAAGAAGTTTTAAAAGTTGATTGTTTCTTATTTGAAACATAAACGCTGATATCCGTCCAACTTCTGCCTAAGTTGGAATTTGACAAGACAAAGAACTAGATCTAGTTTTGATTGTTATTGTGTCAATTTCACATTAGTGTATTTAGATTCAAAAGTTTAATCATTGCTAAAAAATATCAGTACCTACTGTTTCTTGGGGTAAATAAGAATGAGAATTGAACTTTTGAAAATTGTATATTAGTTCCGTCTGCAACAAAAGTTTGTGTGATTTTATACTTTCAATAATTTTAGAAACCTCTATTTCATTTGTCTGAAAGAAAGAAAACGAAACATTTAATACTTGTTTTTATGTACAAACACTTAATACTTGGTTTTATATACATCTATCAAGTCTTCATTTGAACATTTTTACGAGCAATTCTTAGAAAAAAAATGTATTTCCCCTGCATTTTTCTTTTCCGATTTCATCTTGTAATATTCATTTTTTTAGTTCTTGTCACTTCCTCTTTGTGTCGGAGTTTGATAGTTCAAAATTTAAATAGTTTTTTTTTGGCATGAATAGTTAGGTAAATTAGCGAGATTTTTTATCTTATAATTATACCAAGTGATGTGGAAGTTTTATATCTTTAAATTTGCACAATGCTTTCGTCAATTTCTGCTTAATTTGATTGTTATAAGTTATCCAGGGGGTGAATTTATACGTTTTTTGATAGTGTATTTTCGGAAGCTTTAATATTGATATAGCTTTCCACAATCATCAAAATAATGCAATATTCATAATGGAGCTTTTCTCCAACCAAATATAAAGCAGGAATTCGATATCCTCTTGTTTATAAAAAAAATTAATTCCGAGATGATGAAACTGTCAGGTCAATAATTTAAATGTATTCCTTCCCTGCTACCGACGCAAACTAAGATTAAACATAACAAAATTTATTCCGAATATATTGGGCTCACCTTCTATTATCGAGATATCTACTTTTTTTTTAGTTTCCAGATCTCGCTAAGTTGCCTTTTCCTGGTAAAAAAACGTTTCATAACATGGATCGATCTGTTCTGGAAAGGCGAATGAAAATGTTGGGATCTTATATGAATGAAATGTGTCAACCCTCTGTAATTTCAAACCATCCAGGTTTGGAAAGCTTACTTATGACTTTCCTTGAACAGGGGGAGTATGACAGAGCAAATGGAGGACCAATATCTAGTACAGTAAGTAGGACTTATTTACTTAGGTACGTTTATAATATAATTTAATTGTAACTTTTTACTTCTAGATTGACACTTTGGTGAATCCTTTGAAATCGGGCATGAAAACCATCAAAAATATGCCAGAACAATTGATAAACAGTGTTGATGAAGCACTAATTGGACTTTCAAAAGTTTTCCACCCCAAACCTGGACGATTTCCTGAAGCTAGTAAAGTCGGAGCTTCAATAGAAGAGGTGAGACGAACAATTAAAAAAGCTGAAGGCGGATTTTAAAGGCGTTTTCTGGTCAGTTTTTCGATTGACCAAGGCATCAAATTCAATAATTGTGTTAGATGATATTGAACTGGGGAATGTGGGTCGAAAAATAATAATAATAGTGATAAAACATTAAAACTTTGATAGTGACGTAGTCAGCGTGGGAGGTGGTGGCGTGTTAGAAAAGGTGTGAGGATTTGTGGAAATGAATGAGTTATTAGAAAAAAAATGGAGCAACTGTCAGAAGAGCACTAGTTGTATATTCGCTGATAATAATCGAATCTTCGCGTACAGCACGTCAAATGAAAGGATAAAAAATGCAGAATTCATTGACGATGGAATCGGCCGAAACTTGCTAAAAATCCATAACGTATTCAAAAAACACTTCATTGTGGCACTAAGACTGTTTTACAAAAAAGCAACTCGTGTTTCGCTATACAATGGCTTCTTAGGACGTGTCTTTACTGGTAAAGGCACGCCTGGAGAAGCCAATATTGTATGGCGGTACAAGTGTTGCATTTTTGTAAAATTATTCAGTGAAACTCTTAAAATAAAGTGTTTTTTTTTATATATCAAATTTAACATTTAATTTTGGAGTTTTTTCTGCAAGCCTAAAAACAAATTTGAGCATAAACTGAGAATTGCCTATATCATTTTCAATATCAGTTATGATGTTTCGAGTAATAAAAACTTTTGACTTCTCTGACCAACAAAGCTATCTACAGCAGAATATGCAGATTGCTATCCAGTATTGTTTGCCTGAAGTGAACGGTAAGAACCATATAATACTCCTTATAAATATAATATAATTCATATATAGTATAATAGAGAACATTCTAAAATCATTTTATTTTGAAAACTAATAGAAAAACATCTATCTAAAGAATTCGAAACTTCCTGAAAAATTTCCTACCAAAAATGAAGCATTTTTAGATAAATTGTCCTGAAATACGACTTTTTGATTGTGAACACGAGATAGCATAATCAGCCTGCAAAAAATGAAAATAATCAAGTGATATAGAATCTATGAAAATCAAGACATCATTGTAAATCAATTAACTTTCAGGTTATATTCAAGCTAATTCAACCTAAAAGTTATTGCCTTTGTTTGAAATTCAAATGTTATATGAACTATAATATTTTTTCAACTGAAAAATTACACTTGCTTTCAACTTATATGCTTCCGGTGTTTCAACCCCTAATCAAATCATCAATTACAGAAATTAGTTCAAATACTCCACATGCCATAAATCATTTTCCGTTTCTGAAACAAATGGCTAATAAACCCGATAACAATAAGTAATCTGTCAGACACAGTCCATCAGTGCCTACACATCATGAAAGGGTAACAAGTGCTAATGAGGGCATCAGGTTACTTAAAAAGGGAAATTGTGAAATCTCATTTGAAAGGCGTTTCAATCCTTCCAATCATTTATCGGTCGGTAGCCAGGCGGTTCGACGTGGGTGCTCTGTGGTGGTTCAAGCCCTAGTCTGAACGATCGATTTTCACTTGCTACCGTCCAACCCGTGTTAGAAATCACATGTTGAAAGGTAAGACCTCGTTAATCCTTAGCTCGCACAAGTTTCGACGTCTGAGGGTTGTCGTTCGTAGGGGTGCGACAGCTGGTTAATGAAAAAACAGTTTTTAAACAGATTTTAATATGTGATCAAAGATTCTAAGATATAGGCATTTAAGACATGTTTGTTAATTTTCATTTCTTTTGACAAATTGAATAATCAAAGTGGGTATTTGAAATGCTCTCCCTTTATAGTCATTGTGGTGACAGTAATAGATTATCGATTGTTTTCGGTAGACTGCATTTAGAGCATAATAATTTTGGTGTCCCAAATATTGGTGCTTCTTCTAGATTCTCGATGTAACCTCAAAAAACAGAACCAACTTATATACATATTGTTAATACGTTCATGTATTGAAATACTTTTTACAGTATCATATAGCAAAAATTATGTAATGATCCATTATTGAAAGACGACTAAGGTTTTCAATTTTTTTTCAGACAGACGATAACATTCCACTCAGAATTATGTTACTTTTAATGGATGAAGTATTTGATTTAAAATGTAGAAATCAATGGTTGAGGCGGAGAATTGTCACTCTGCTGAGACAAATTGTGCGGACCATGTTTGGTGATATTGTCAACCGTAGGATTTTAGAATATGTTTCACTATTAACAAGCCCTAAAAGAGTAGCCCACTACCTCTATATATTTAAGTAAGTAGTTGTGAAGTAAATATTATTTTTACTGTTAAACACTTTCGAAAGTAAAGAAATATTTCATTAAGAACTATTCACTAAATGTTTGATTGATTGATTGATTTCAGATTGTATTGAGTTACTTTACGCGGTTTTGAAGATTTGAAATGATTGGATACAGATGGCCGATTCATTTTCCTGAATTTATTTTGAAGATTTTCGAAGATTTTATTTTACTTTTCTGAAACGTTATCAACTTATAACTTTCATTTGTTTCCATAATATTCAATACATTCAGTAGTATAATAATTTGTTGAAAATATGTAAGGAACAAAGTTTCATTCCAATATTTTCCCTTTTTCATATTTTCACCAATAAATAAATACATCTGCTTTGCTTAGAATATATTAATTACCATTTAATAGTTTGTATAAAAATAAATGACCTTCCCTGTGTATGTCAAATGAAAGAAAAGTACTTTTCAGATATTTCATAAGAAGGAGCTTAGTTAGAACAAACAAATAAATTTAATGTAGTCAATAAATGTAATTTTAATTTTTCAGGCAATCTTTTTGGCCAAACGGCGTAAGAAATGAAAAGAAACCAGAAAGAGATGAAGACACCAAAAATCTAAGTAGAGTAGCAGCTAAGGTGGTGCTGCTGTCATGCTTGTCAGGTATTCTTTTGTTTATGTTGTGTATTGGATTGAAAATCAGTAATAATATAATAGGTGTTATGTGATGGAATTGGTTGATTACTTGATGAAAATCCATAATGTATTCAAGCAACACATCATTGAGAGATTTTCACTGGGCTGTTTACAAAGCCACAAACAAACGCTTTCACATTCGTTTTCGTACTCATGTATGAAAATGCTTGAGTAAGCTATTGTACAGCTAAACACCTTTATCTCTCTCTAATATTTGATAAAATAAGTCATGAATTGTTTTTGACTATACTGAAACTCTATAAGTTATTTCCCTTAATGAATGAAGATAATGAAATAGCTGAGCGTTAGGCTGCGTTTACATAGTTTTAAAGCAATTAGATGCAGTAGACCTATTTAACCGATTGAAACATAACATAAATTAGTGTTCCTATTTCACATACGTTCTGAAATTTGGATTCTGCAACTAAGTTTTTTGAATCTAAAGAAATGAACTTTAAACGTTCAAGCCAGTCTCGAATATACCTACACAGTAGGTGGAATGGACTGACGCCTATCAGAAAACAACTACTCCCCTGGCTAATACTACGAAGGGCGTTGGATTATATCCGGCAGGGGTCAGTGCAGGAATCTTCACAGAAAATTTCCTGCATATGCAATTGGCAATACAACTGAAAGAGTCGACCTTCAATTTTGGAACGGGCACACTTGCAGACCGGTTTCGGTCTCATTAGCATTAGCAAATGAGTCTTATGACCACAACTCCTTGATGACTTCTGCAAATGCTTTGATTAAAGCACCCTCCATACTAGTAATACTAGTATTAATATCTTTCATGAATTCATCCTTTTTCAAATATTCCAACAACCATCTCGTGTTTGATAAACATTGGATTACGCTGTTCATGAAACAGGTGTTACCAATATTTTTCGACCCATTTAAACAAAGGGTTTTGGCTGAAGAATTTCTCACTGAACAATTCGAAATATCTTTGAAACACATTTCAGAATTTTGCTGAGAGAAAGTATTTTTTCCATTTGCTTTTGTTTTAATTCCATTAAGTGGTTTGTTATTACCTCTCTTTTCTTTATAAAATTGGATTTGTAAATTTCATCAAGTTTTTTGGAATCTGGAAGAGTAGCGAAAAACGAAGCCGCATTTCCTCTTTGGATGGCTATACTAATTTTTTGAATGAGAAAAGATGTGGCTCTTGATTCGTCTGTTACCTTTTTTCCAATTTCATTAATAAAAAATAAGGCTTCAGAGCCAAAAACACCAAAAGTTTCAACAGCTATTGGGCGAAAGATATAATTATTTCCCAAATTCTGATATTTCCGTAGTTTGGATCTTTCTCCTAAAGAGGCAGCAGCACTGGCTTTCGCAGAAGTAGCAGGAAGATAGCAAGTTGCTAATGTATCTACACAAGTAAAGTCCCAAACAACAGATTTACCATTTTTCCATGGAACAAGTGTCGTACCATCCGGCCGTTTTCCGTCTTCTCGACTTGTGCCTATGGGTTTTAAAATCGCAGGAATATTTGCTGAAGTTAAAGCCCTTTTAATTAGATCATTAATTGCGCAATGGCGAGATAAACGACCAGCGCTACCTGATTCATCCACAAATGCACATTTACAAAATTGTTGAACACACAGTGGTGCACCAAGTCGAAATCCGATGGCAAGTCTGAAAGAGTCGTCATCCAATAGAGTCCCAAGTGATGCTACAGGAACAGCACTTAACCAAGCACCAGATTCCTTCACAGTTACTGCGAGAAGATGAGGCTTATTTTTTAAAGTGTCAGAAGCTGTCTTCAGTAAAATACTAGCTGCTTGATCAAGTAACAATTTATCCCATACCCTCTGGTTTTTTCATAGTGTATCTACCCTTCATTCTCATAATACTTGAAAAAAAAGCTTTACAATATGACAGGTTGATAAAAACCATATATTATATAAACTACTATAGTCCAATATTCTTCAGCAAAATTCCGAAATTCTATGAGATGTAGCCCTACTAAGAAATTCCTAAAAATAAAAAAGAACTGCTTGTTAAAAAAGCATGTTGAAGTATTAGAGAATTCTTGTTGGAATATGTAGTCTCTTCTATGCCAGTGTTGTAGTAATGGTTTTTTTGTAACTTTTTCTATATTCACTGCTAAGCTCTTTTCTGATATATCTTATATCTATTATATATCACTAATTCAATAAAGAAGAGTGAAATGGGAATGGCAGCAATATTCATACGCAGAAAAGGAATACCATGAACAAACTCACGTGTCATTTTAAAGGTGACTTATTCTGTTTGGGTTCTGGTTTGACCATTTTTGTTAGGCTAATCCTCCAGAGCGGAACCAGTTTTTTAAAGCAATTCATAATTTGGTTGGGTTCCGCAAGGTATCTGAGCAAATGCACGATTACTTCATGCGATGTAACAAATACTCAACATTATTTGTACCAACATACTTTATTGTAAATAACCTATTATCAGGAATGTCTCAGAATCAAACATGAGAAAGGTGTAGTGCAATGGTAAAATATTCTAGTTTTTTCCATGTCATATGTTTATAATGATGATACAATTATCTAAATTTACATCTTGGAAATATTGAACTATCAGTTTGAGAGATAATTGTTGTTTCTTTCTCTAAAACATTTATTATTTATATTAAATGATAATTTTTTGTTGAATTTATGGAAAGACTTGGTATGTCAACAATTTCATGCATTACAGATTCCATTTCTTCTTATGCTTTCAATTGAAAGGAGTTTTTGATGTAAATGACTTTTTCTTACAGATGAATTGAAACACATCATTGGTTCGGAAACCACAAGAAGAGGTGTTCTTACAATATTTGATCTTTTCCAAAGACCAATTTTAAACCGCAGACTATTATATGTGTTATTAGAAGGTGTATTATGTACTTTATTTCCAGATAAGGATATGACTAAGCTATTTATTAAATTATATTCCAATTCCAAAAAGAATGAACAGAAAAATACTCGTAAATCCAGGTGATAAATTAGTCATTTAATTTTGTAATGTAAATGTAGTCATAGAAATTAACTGATTCTTGGTTAAAAGGGTCCGACAAGATCATTTTAAATAATATTTGATAAGTTTTTGATGAAAGTTATAGAATTCTTCACTTTTAACAAAAATGAAAACTTCATTTCATAACAAGTTTTATAATTTAAGTATATATAAAATAATAAAAGAGAACGGCCTAACATTTCATTACAAAATACTGATTTGACTTACAATTGAGTTATTTTGTCTTTTTTTAATTGCCTATGGGACCAAAAAATTTTAGTTTTAAAATTAAATCGTCTGGTATAGATTACTCAATAATTAAATTAATATGGATTTTGAGTGCAGTCAAAAATGTGGGGTGTCAAACTTTTGATACATACCACTTGGTAAGATGATATCTTATGTTTTTCCCATGCTGTTAAATAACATTTCATCAGAATATCCAATATTATTTTTTGTTATCGAACAATTTTGTTACAATCCTCATCAATAAATCACATTTTTAATGAGAATGACTGAGAAATAAAATGAATGTCCTGTAGTTTGTAGTTAAGTATCAAGATTTTTAAATATACTACCATCAACAGATTGAAAATGTTTATTAGGCAGTTAATGAGTTTGAATATGGGAATTCACTTGAATATTACAAAATGTTCAAATACTCCAAGTGCATAAATAAATCACATTTTTAATGAAAATGACTGAGAAATAAAATGAATGTCCTGTAGTTTGTAGTTAAGTATCAAGATTTTTAAATATACTACCATCAACAGATTGAAAATGTTTATTAAGCAGTTAATGAGTTTGAATATGGGAATTCACTTGAATATTACAAAATGTTCAAATACTCCAAGTGCAAACTTTCACGGCCGTAGATAAGTGAATCAATATTATTTTTCAAGTTTGTTGACAGTGGTCTGCAGGTTTTTATGTCTGATGTTTTGTCTACGACTGCGGTAGACATTACCAAAGGGCATGGAGGCGGAGGACAACCAGAGTACTTTGTGCCTCGTCCAAAGGTCAGGCCCCGGCCCATAAGCTCAGAAAATAGCATGAACAATATTTGAAAACTTATTCAGATTAGTACTGTTTTTGAATAGCAAAATTTCAATATTCTAAGAAAAACGCTATTTGTATGTTTTAACAACATAAATTGCAAAATACGTTTCCATATGCTTTCTTGAGACACTCATTTCATAAAATATAATGGACATTTAAGACTGGCAAGTTTAAATTTAATTTCACCAAACACACTATGTAATTTCTTTGAATAAATGTACTTGCTATAATTTTTCATCCTATGTGTGGGAGAATTTAATGGAAAGAGGTTATGGAACTATTCTCGATTGCACCAAAAAATCAATGATGAGGAAATGTAATATTCTCAAATAAAAATGTCCTAACCTTCGAATCAGATTTTTCTGTGACTACACAATTCCATATGCCATCTGGCTCATCTCAAATTTTATTTTCTTTAATGATTTGTATTTATTTACATTTTGTACATTTTAGGTTATTGCTTATATTGTTGAAGTATTATTTATTCATGTTCCAATTTATTTATTTAATATATACATTTGAAATGATAGGTACATTATTTCTTTCTTCTATAAATGATTGGTAAACAGAATGGTATTACCAATGGAATCTTGGTCACATGGTTCCAGAAATCTTTGCCATTTTCTTTGTGGTCCAGATTGTGTAGTTCAAGATGTGAATTTTTTAATTTGGTCTCTGAAAACTTTTTAGAGTCTGTCATATTTGTAGTTGATCTTTAACGACGAATTAATCGGACAATCATTTTTGACAGGTTTTCAAATTGTTTTTCTATGTATAAACATAGAAACAAATTTTATCAATCTTCCATCCTTATAGTCCAGGGGCTAATAAAATTTCAAATTCTTACAGAAATGAATGATGTGTGTTCTTAAGTTGGAGCGAACAACAAAATGTCACTCCATCTAGTGGACGAGGTACTAACCATATCCGAAATTTGCCCGATTCCTCTGAATAAGGATGAAAAACTTTCTTATTAGTCAGTGGGCTACGCTTGAAGACTGGAAGGAAGAGAAATGAAAAACTCTGAGAAAGAATTCCGATTTTCAATTATGGAATATCATTGACTTTAGGTCGATGATGGCCACTATCTTGAACTGACGGGTGGCTAATGAGCCCGAAACCGGTCTGCAAGTGTGCCAGTTCCAAAATTGAGGGTAGACTCTTTCAGTTGTATTGCCAATTGCATATGCAGGAAATTTTCTGTGAAGATTCCTGCACTGACGCCTGTTTTCTGATAGGCGTCAGTCCATCCAACCTACTGTGTAGGTATATCTGGGACTGGCTTGAACGTATTAAGTTCATTTCTTTAGATTTGTCATAAGTATGGTATAAAACTACATATTAGGTGAAGCTAATGGATTGGTGCAGAAATGTATGATATATGCCAGGGCAAATGATGAAACCTGTGGATCTGGCCATGCTGCTAAAATTGTGCTAAGTTAACAAAAGATAGACTGAATTTAAAACATTCACTGTATGAGAATAATTTTCACAATAGTACTACTGTGTTTATTACGAAACCCTGACTGAACACATGTAAGGGCCTTATTACCTTCCAAGTGATCCACAATTTGATTGTAGACCGCTTTTTCTAGTACTTTTCCTATAATTGGTATCATATTTATTGGTCTCAATTCACAAGCTTTATTCGTATTTGGGACTTTAGGAATTGGGATAATTGTTGCAATTTTCATCTTTATTATGAGGATAATTTTCACAATAGTACGAAATTAGCCGATATGCTATTGGAGGAAAATACCTATTGTATTGGCACGTTTAACAAAAAACGCAAAACAAATCCAAAAGGCGTTAATAGTTTAAAATTGAAATGAGAGAATAGCATAGAATAAAAAAAAAAATTTGTCGAAGGTGGAAAATATTGTGGCCATTACAGGGTCTAGCCTGAAAAAAATTAAAAAAATAACAGAAGAAAAACATTCAGGTGTAGACAATGAACAAAAAAAAAACTAAACGAGTGCTGCGGAAAGAGATAAAGTTTTGCAGAATAAAAAAAACTGCCGCGATATTTGTTATTCTTGTGAAGGGGCTCCCGGTTTTTGTGTAAAGTGTTTCTTCAAATACCATAGACAACTATAACACCTGTAAGTGTAATTGGCATCTTATTTGAAATTTGCATTAGAGTTGCCCACCACACCCATGGGTGTATTATTATTTCAATTTAGTTATAAACAAAATTTCTTTATCAGTTAATATTGTTCAATAAAAATGTCTTAATAAAATTGGGTCCACTATACATTATATAAGTGGGTGGCACTGCTACAAAAAATTTGAATATAGGTAGGCATTGAACATGTTGAGTTTTAATAGAATAAATTATGAAAATCGTTTAGTTACTTATCCTTCCTAAAAGGACGTTCGGACGTGTCATGCCCACGAATATTTGATATGTCGAACGTAAGGTAAAAACAAAATACTTTCAAAATTATGCCCTTTTTATATTCGATATTTTTTTTTCTAATTCAATAATATATATAACTGACATTACTAGAAAAATGAAAATATCAATAAAATGATATCCATAATGAAGTATGATGTATGTAAAGTGACACACCACTTTTTGGATCCTTTATAATTGTGACATCATGAAAATAGAAGCTCTTATCTAAGCGAAAGCTCTGGAAATCCAGACCCAGCCCTGCCCCTACGTTACAGACCCAATAAAAAAAAGTGACCTCGATAACATTAAATTACATGACTAACTCGCCATATATCTAATGCTTTTGCATTCTTTTATCTTCCGTGTCCTATGTGTCTTTTCATCTGTATGTTAGACTGAGTATACAGTACTTTGGCTAAGACACAACCGTATATATTCATGATAAATAAATTGATAATATGGATGAGATGTAACTTGAACTTAAAAATTGAAAGATTTATGAGGAATTCTTCCAGACATTTCCTAGCATGCATGGTTAGCATATCTGATGCTGAAAGTGGACTATCATCAGAGATAGAAACACCTCTGAAGAAGAAATTCCACAATACGACAGCCCTCAAACTCGACAACAAATACTGATAGACTATGACCGTGAAGGTTTGACTACTCCCAAAAAGCAATTAAAAGAATTATTTGGTAAAAATTAATCTTTTTATTAAAAAAACTATCCTAAACACATTCTGCAGACAACTGTTGAAAACGTATATACATATAACATAAATGACATCCATGTCCAAATAGATAATAACAATAACATTTTACTTGTATAATACTTGAATAGACAAATCAAAATTCAATGTGGATGTTTATATGAACCATGAGAAGGATGCAACAGTGAAATATTAACTGATGATATAACAATAACATTTTACTTATATAATACTTGAATAGACAAATCAAAATTCAATGTGGATGTTTATATAAACCATGAGAAGGATGCAACAGTGAAATATTAACTGATGATATAACAATGATTTTAATTTTCACAATCTTTTGGAAGCCAGATCTTCAAACTCTTGGTCAAACTATATGTAAACAATTTTTTCATTAATATGATATATACTTCTAAAACATTGCTCATAATGGCACGATAAGAAAATTAAAGAACTATACAGAGCAGGCCTAACTGGACACTTTTATTGAAGGAAAACTATTTTGTAATGAGACACTGTATATTCCTGCATATTTCAAGAGAGCTTAAAATTACATTTTTAAAAATGTAGCACACTTGATATTTTGCTAGAGTAATCTTTGAAATACAGAGCTTTTAGGATTTTTCATGGACTTTGAAAAGCACACTTTCATCAGGTAGGCTTTGGACGATGCGGCGATAAAACAGAATGCAAATCTATACCTGTGTTTCCTGGAAAGTTGTAACCAAGTGTACGATTTTTCGTTGAATTGTACTTGGACAGACGAAGCTTATACGAGCAATGCCGGCATTTTCAAGCGCTACAATTTTTATATTTGGGCACAACAAAATCCTCATTCTATTGTGGAGCATAGAAGTAAAAGAAGATTTGGAGGTTTTCACCATTAAGTGTCATAAAATTTGACCCTCAGTCACAGACAACAGTTTTCATCTATCTAGTTTGAAAACAGAAATTTCCCTTTAAAAGTGTCCAATGTGCCCCACTCTGTACAAGTAGGCTTTTCAACCGACTCTGATGACAAATTAGTACTTCAGATACAATTTTGGAAAGCCAAGGTAAATCACTGAACTTTTCTGAAATTACTTGTAATATAAAAATAATATTTATTCATCAAGAGCATATTCACGACATCAATGAAATAGCAAAGAGCTAGTAAGTAGATCCATTGTGAAATTCAATGCATGAAAAAATTCAAGACCCAGTTAATTATGATCACGAACAATTTTTGAATGTGGGTAGCTACAAATATTACCATTTGGTATTGGCCTCATGTTTTTTGTTGCAAAGTTGAGATTTATATAACTATTATCCATTCGAACGTAGTCAATACATATGAAAATGATTCAAATGAGGACCCCTCAGTCATATCTTCTTTACGACCAACACTTGAAAGAATTGAGCTTACGAAAATATCCTTAAAATTATTTTATTCCTAGTCAAATTTGATTGAATTAACAGACATGTCAATAGTTCCACCTCGATAGGACCCTCTTTTTTTCTTGGTTTTTTCATGCCTGAAAGATTTTCCTCGGGTGTGTTTCAGGTCCAAGTTAGCTCTCTCACCCCAAGATCCTCTAGCATTAAACTACAACAAAATTATGTAAATTAGTTGAGCATAGTGGCCTTAATATAAGATGTATTTTTATTTTCCCAAAAAATGTAAATATTTATCAATCATATCTGCCATAAATATGACTTTTCCTGTACAACAATAAAAAATAAAAGTTTCGACTGACTCAAGAGGAACTCTGTTAGTAGTTATTGAAATACGATCATTATGCTATCCTATTCTCATATTGCTAGCTTTCTTCATTACTCTGTATCCTATAATCAGAAGAAAATGAAAGTTTGCCATATAAAAAATTCGCAACATTAGGCATGTCGACATATCTAAAAAGTCACTCAAATATAAAGCAAAAAAAATATTTTAACTAAAACTATGCAGGTAAATGAAAGTTTTCATTATTTTTAATGTTCATCATAATAAAGAACAAAAAAGCCTCTTTAAAAAAATCACTAATGCCAGTTTCAACTATTACTAAATCAATGGATGTAGCCGTTACTATGTGGTAGGAGATAATGATGAAAAGTGAAACTTTGTTTTTTTTACCACTAGTATTTGTAACTAACATTACTGCAGTTTCGTCCTATAGTAACCTTTTCAAATGAATACAATAAACTTATTATTCATTTGAAAATACAGTTTCGTCCTATAAGAACATTTTCAAACGAATGATAGGTTTATTGTATTCTTTAAAAAATATTCCTCAAGGACGAAACTGCAGTAACGTTAGTTACAAATACAAGCGGTAAAAAAAACAGAAATTTTATTTTCCATTTTTCAAGTATTACTTTTGCACCCTGTATGCAACTCAACTTGAGATTTTTTTAAAAGTATCATAAAAGAACTATAAAAAAGTACTGACGAATATATTTGAAATGACCTTTCAGATGTAATTTGTAATATTAAACGTCATATGTTCTAAAAACACATTAATATAGGTAAAATAAAAGTTTTGTGAAACAGATAGAGAATTTGATGTAGAGTAGAAATCTGTAATGAAATATACAGTATTGCAATCAAAATAACAAAATTCAAACCTCCTTTCAGTATAACCAGCACTATTTTAGCTACAGTAGAACTCCCACTATCCGGATCGCCAATTAAACGGATCACTTCAAAGAACAATTTTTTTAGATTTAGTAATTATTTTTTGGGTGTTATCCTTTCAAAATTTGGTCAAATCCAATTTCCCAAATATTTGATCATCTAGACTAGAGTTACCTCCAACATCATTACCACTCTTCCAAATATTCAGAATTTCGCAATTTATATTTTGTGTAATATGAACGAATGAAATTCCCAAAGTCACCCTGTATTGGAAACCACTAAATTACACCAAACACAAGTTAGAATCAAATATTTTCCATAACAAATTTGTTTTAGATAATCACTGTCCCCTATTCAAAATAAATGAATTAAATTTTCTTTTGAAATGGTCCCTGTACAAATCTCCAAAGATAAACTAAGCAAAGTTGATTAAGTTTTGTATTAAAAATGTACCTATCCCTAGCTGAAATAAAAAAATAATTCATACTCACATAAAACACATCAACATCTAATCGTCAAAAGTAATTTTCTTATTTTCAGCTGGCTTAGATTCAAAACTGTTATTGAAACTCTTGTTGCCACCGAAACCTCCCCTGTTGCCACCAAAACCTCCTCTATTACCACCGAACCCTCCCCTATTACCACCGAACCCTCCCCTATTACCACCGAATCCTCCCCTATTGCCACCGAATCCTCCCCTATTGCCACCTCTTCCTTCGCTATCGCCAAACGAATTTCTGAAACCTCCTCGACCACCCCCCCTATCATTGCCATCAAAGGATTTCCGGAAACCACCTCCTCGGCCACCTCTGTCACCCCCTCGACCACCTCTGTCTCCACCTCGACCACCTCTAAAACCTCCACGACCCCTACCACCGCCATCTCCAAAGGAATTTCTATCATTGAAACCTCCTCGGTTACCTCGGCCCCCTCGGAAATTACCCCCTCTTCCGCCACGACCAAATGAGTTTCTACGTTCCTCTCCTCCTTCCTCATTCTGGTTTTAGCATTTTATTTATAGCAAATTAACATCCATTGAAAGGGAACAGCAAAATATGGAAAGAAAGAAAAACAAGAGTTAGTACAACAGACTGGCGACCTATCTTTAAAGGACAACGTGCAAAGCTCATCATTTCAGCAGCAAAATTTTTTCAACTTCAATTTGGTTCTAGATCTGGCATTGAGAAAAGGAAATGGCAAGGGCTCTACCAAAATAAAAATAATCTTTTAATTCATATACATAAAATTAATACCAAAATAAAATCATTTCAAATTCAAACTTTCAGTTGAGAATTTTCACCAAGGAAATTGAATATGTGAAAAAAGTTTGGGAAAGATTGAATTTTATCATTAAAAAGTTAGTTTTTATTGAACAGCCATTGCATTAAAACAAGAAATTGACAAATTGAATAATTAGTTTTTTTTCTGTTAGGAATCACACGTTAAAAGGTAAGACCTCGTTAGTCCTTAACTCGCACAAGTTTCTCAACTTCTGAGAGTTGTCGTTCGTATGGGGGCGACAGCTGATTAACGAAAAAACAAATTTTACACAGATTAAACAGATTTTCTATATAAAAAACATTTATGCCAGTCATGAACCAGATGTACAAAAAAAATGAAAAAAATCCTTATTCAGAGAGATCGCCCCTTCCGTTGTACCCACTCATGAGATGTGCACGTTACCTTTGCATCAAATGAATTATCATATAAACGGGGGTCGATCTCCACTTCTTCATCTTTGACACGTCTAAAAGGTGTATTTTTGCGCTAAAATGATGAGAAAATTTTGTGAATAACATGTTATTGAATAAAAATTGTTACAAATGTATCAATAGAAAATTTTTTGTCTGATGTCATTTTTCAATAGATCCATTAAACACTACAATATAGAAGAGTAAACATTACAATCTACAATGGTCACTTTCAATTTCAGAACATGAACAAATAAGACCAAATACTAACAAAAAATATTGAAAATAAAAAGTGAATGAAAAGGGGTGAGTTTAGAACATCGAGATCAACATATTAAATTTAATTAAAATTACAATTAAATACTAACCTCTCCATTGAAACTGTCGTTTTGTCCGGATTTGACGAAATTATCATATTTTGGTTTTTTAACTTTCATTTCTTCTTCCTCCTCATCTTCAGGACTACTCTTTTTTCTCTTTTGTTTTTCTTTGGCAGGTTTACTTTGTTTTTCTTCTTCATCCTCCTCATCATCTGATGAATCTTCAGATGACTCTTTTTTTTCCTGAAATATACATTCAATGAAAAATACTACAAATTATATCAGAATTAAAATAATTTTTCAACCAAAATATCTGCATACAGCAGTAATGACTTGAGGACATCGATCATTGCGTTATAAATTCACTATAATTTTCTTAGGATGTTACTTATTGTAATTCAAAATTTGAATTAGAAAAAGGAAAAATGAGTGTGAATCAACGATCCACAGTTTGCTGATATGACAACATATGTTACACATTATTCTTCCTTTTGTCATAAATGGTACAATCTCAAAGTATTGTTTACATTCATTACTTATACCTCTTTATCTATGCAGAAAATGCTACCAATGAAATTTGTTAATAAAAAGCTTATTATTTTATGCTTTACAGTTTCATTTCAAAACTTCCTTGGTCAAACAGAATCTAATAAATGTAATTGTAATCAGTATCAATCTCATTGGTTAAATTTGCCAAATAAATCATGAATACAATAATTCTACTGGATTTCTATTCCAGCACAAAACATTTCAAATAAATTTTTAATATACCTTTTTCGAAACAGCAGGCGTGGAAATGGCTACAGGTTTCTTTGGAGGCTCATCATCACTTTCTTCATCTGATGAACTTTCTTTCTTTGCAGGTTTCTTTGCGTTTGTTACTTTCTGTGCCTTAGGTGGAACTTTGGTTGCATTATCTTCATCGCTTGAATCTTCCTCGGAGCTGCTTTCTTTTTTGGCTGGTTTTTTCGTTACAACTTTTGCCTTGGAAGATGCCTTTTCTGTTTCTTCTTCGCTAGAGTCATCAGAACTTTCTTCCTTTGTTACAATTTTTTTTGGGACAGCACTTTTTGCTGTTGGTTTCTTTGCAGTTTCCTCCTCACTAGATTCGTCTGAACTTTCTTCCTTTGCTGTGGACTTTTTAGCAGGAGTAGAGCTTTTCACTGGTGGTTTCTTTGCTTTATCCTCCTCACTAGATTCATCAGAACTATCTTCTTTTGCAACTGGTTTTTTTACAAGAGCAACAGGTTTTGTCAATGGTTTCTTTACGGTCTCCTCTTCACTAGAGTCATCAGAGCTTTCTTCTTTTGCTACAGGTTTTTTTAAAACAGCGGCAGTTGCTAAAGGCTTTTTGCTAACAACAGCTGTTTTGCCATCTTCCTCATCCGAACTTTCCTCAGAACTGCTCTGTTCTTTCTTTGAACCAACTTTCTTTAGGGGAACACTTGTTTTTGCAACTGGTTTCTTAACTGCTGTCTTTTTGGTATCTTCCTCATCAGAGCTGTCTTCAGAACTGCTTTCTTTCTTTTTTGAAGGTGTTACTTTCTTTGGAGTTGCAACTACCACATTTTTTTTTGCAGGAGGTTTCTCATCTTCAGATGAATCATCTGAACTGCTCTGAGCCTTCCTTTTAACAGCTGGAATTGTTTTGGCTACAGGAGTCTTCGTGGGAGTTTTCTGTATTGGTTTCTTTGGTTTTTCCTCCTCGGAGGATGAATCACTGCTGTCCTGTTTCTTTGTAGGAATTTTAGGAGATTGGGTTTTGAGTGGTTGAGTTTTGCCAAGAGAAGTTTTTGGAGTTGGTTTTTTTTCATCTTCATCAGATTCCTGAAAATTCAATGACAGTTTATACATGTAGCAGTAAACAAATAAAAATATGAGTAACACCATTAAGATAAATTAAAAAGATAAAAACCTCCAATGAGTTTTTTTCTTTATGGTTGCTGATACATAATATTGATATTCTAAACAAGTTTATGCCATTTGTTGTGTCTAGATATTTGTACAAAAAATCATAATAATTAACCAGGTTATAATTTGAATGAACTTAATAAATCAAGAAAACAATTACCATGTTTTTAAAAGGGTCTACATTGTTTATTTTTCAGATCACTAGGTAAATGGCAACCACTATAAAGAAGTCTATTACCAGAGGTGTGTTTGGCTTCATGGGGTTAAGAATATGTGTACTTGCACAACAATAAGATTTGAAACAATTAAAAGTACTGACTTTTGGGTGCAGTCCTTTGTTAATATGAATACTTGTAGGATCTTTAATAAGTTACAAAAAATATGGTATCCAAATATAGACCCTGGACACAACAAGTTGATAGAATTATTTAGTAGAGAAAGTTGTTGCTTTCAAAGTTTGGTAATTTTTATAAAATTAACATGAGTTAATACTGCTAATGTTGATAATCTACACAACTATATTTTTTTTCAACTTTTTATTCTGAAAGTGAAAATGCACTTTTTATAAGCACATTATCAATACTATAGCCAATATATTGCCCATCCTATATATTCAATAGTAGTTCTTTGAACTTCAACTTATAAGGCAAAAAATATTATAACCGACTTAATTGCAAGAACACTCTTTCTTCTGGTAATGTTGAGTGTTCATGAAACTCTTATTTCTAGCACTGAAAAAAAAAAGTACCCTAAAGATTTAGTAAAACAAAACCCTTAAAATATTCATGTATAGAATATGAATTTCCCTTCTTTTGTATAATTGTCTGCAAGATATTCTTGGTGCACTATTGAATATTCTTTAGATTACATTTTTCTGGGCCCTGACTGCTTTATGAAGGTAAGGGGAGAAGCCCCCAAAAAATAAAGCTATATTGATATGGCGATTGAACCAATCCAGAGTACATAAATAAGCATGAGAAAGAAAAACAGTTTCTCTTATATTTGTAGAGTATAAAAAAATAGGTACCTTAATTCAGAAGAAACAAGAAAGCGGTGAAGAAAATCCAGCAAAAATAATAATAGATAGGTATAGTTTCTCAGATAGTGGAAAGATTGGAATACTCTCACATTTTTTTGCAAAAAGATGGAGAAGTAGATATACCATAGATATATTTTCTGAATTTCCTGAATTAGAGAATAAAATAATTCGTTAAGACACAACTGGCAGAAACAGAATAAAAATTTAAATCAAGAAACTATAAATCAGCATATCATCTGTCGGATAAAAATGTGAATATCATACAAAATATTTTGAAGTTATATATTCCAAGGTTCATAATCGTATATCAGGATTGTATTAGAGATATTGATTTTTGGAAAAATATAATAAATTCGTGATTGACACTGTCAGAAATATGAATATAAAAAAATTACGAGATGGTAAAACAAAGGCTTGAATAGTGAGTTTCAGATATCAGTCTCTTCCAAACTACATTAGAATAAATTGGGTTTGAATTGAAATATAAACATATATCCACAGAGTTCATTTGTTTCAAATTAAGTTATGATTTTTTTAGGTTTTTATTACATTTTAAAACCCAAAAAAAATCAGTTCCTCAAAACATCATTTTTGTGAAAGTTATCAAAATGAGAACAAGTAGATGCATGTGTCTATACAATATAATTGTTCCAAAATTAATTGGGTTTGAATTGAAATATAAACATATGAGTTCATTTGTTTCAAATTAAGTTATGATTTTTTTAGGTTTTTATTACATATAAAAACCTAAAAAAATCAGTTCCTCAAAACATCATTTTTGTGAAAGTTATCAAAATGAGAACAAGTAGATGCATGTGTCTATACAATATAATTGTTCCAAAATTCAGATTTCTTAACATACACCCCTGTTTGAGTAGTGGGTAGGCATCAATTTTAGTATAATTTTGATGAATCAGACTGCCTCATAATTTTGAACACAATTTGTCCCTTTCGCAAATTTTCCATGTGATGTTAAAAAAAATCAGCGAGTTCTGCTTAACTACCTTTAACCAGAAACAAACCAAAACACTTCCCTTTTTTTAATTTTGAACCTGCAGTAAGTTTAGACTCTTTGATCAAGGTGTATAAGTTTCAGGGCTGTTTTGTCTGCAACGGCAGCAGATATTATCATAAGTGATGTAGCAATGATCTAAGTATTCTACCTTGCTTCAATGAGTAAACTGAAAGTGGTCTTGAGGTGGTCGCATTTATAATGGGATTGTAAGTCAGACAACTATTTTTTTTTCGCATCTATTCAATCTAACTCTCATTGAATTATTGGGAGAATATGTTCTAATGTGCCGGTATGCATGTTAAAGTCACATTAATAATTAAGGATTTCCATGGAATACCTGTATAGCCACAGATAATACACTCTGGTTTCATTGGGAACTTACGTTCTATCAAAGGCAATTTCATCAATGCCTTCTGAAAGAGCATGCTGCTGATTTGTCTGTTTGGCTAAAGGGACACCTTTTTTCGTGCTCCATCAAGTGCACTTTACTGCCTTTTTTCTGTTTCCGATATAGAAAGAACCACAACTATAAGCTGCTTGGTATACTTCTGGGGTACTTAATGTATCTCTGTATCTTTAGCTAACTTGATGACTATTATCCATTGTTAGTTTGAAAATGACTTATCTCTATATTTTTCAAGGATCCTTTCAATACAATGCATTACATCGAAAAAAAAAATTAATGTCTATTTAATAGAGCATTGCATAGGTACCTCAGAGTTTCAAAATGACATTTACGCAGTATTTCAATGATTGAAAAAATTACCCCTTTTAAGAATCTCAGATGACAGTTAATTATCCTGCTTTCTAATAGATTAAATAAATAGTATCAATTGCAAAGTCTGAATTTTGAAAAAACAAGAGACAAATCTTACCTCAGAGCTAGACTCTGCAACAGATTTAGCAACAGGTTTAACGGGAGCTTTTACAACTGGTTTCTTTGCAGTAGATTCTTCATCAGATGAGTCATCTGAACTGCTGACTTGCTTTTTGGGAACAAGCTTTGATGCAGGCTTCTGTGCTTTAATAACAGGGGCCTTGGGAACCTCTTCGTCATCAGAATCGTCAGAACTGCTATCTTCCTTCTTCTGTGCAGGTTTAACGACAGCTTTAGGTAAGGATTTTACAACAGGTTTCTCAATTTCCTCTTCAGAACTCTCCTCACTGCTCGATTCACTTTTTTTCTTGGCAATTTTATTTTGCTTCACTACTCCATTAGTAATATTGCTCTTAGGAGATTCCTCTTCCTCGCTACTATCGTTTTCTGTGTTCAATTTCAATTTTTTCGATTTGGGACCAACTTTCAAATAATGATTTAATATTTCAATAAATGAAGGAGCTCCTTTGATCAGCGAAGGCTAAAATAGAAAAATACAAATAAGCAAAATAGCAGCGTGGTCCGGTCCCACGTGGTGGTAAGTCCAATATACGAGAACATACGCAAATGGACTGACGGGAAATAAAATCTGTACTTACTGCTTTCGTTTTTTTCTGAAATACGCTGGCGAAATTTTTATCCTTCTTAGATAAAAACTCAAAAACAAGGGCCAAAGCCACAAGATCAACGTTCTCCATAGCCATTTTTTACTAAAAGAACAGTCTCTCTCTCACACTCACAGTAGTCGCAGAACACAAAAATCGACGTATGATTTCACAGTTTCATAAACCTCAAAATATTCACAATACAGACAGGACAGTAAACTAATCTGATATTTATAGTATAGCATATTCAAAATTATATAAACTGGAGGGGAGTAAACAGGTATTTCCTCATCAGTGATATCAGACTGCCAACAATCTTCCAAATAATTTGCATTCGAATATAAAAATTTATGCCGTATTGCGCACGGATGAGTTTTCATCAATATTTGTCGAATTCAGGTATAGATTTGGGTGTATCAGACATTATATCTTAGCTTCATTTCAAGATGAAAACATAAAAATCATCGACGAAATGTTTTCACCGTTTGTTTGACGAAAAAAAGTAAAGCGAAAATGTTCCGCCCACGATTGTAAAAATATCCTTATATTCCAAACAACAATACCGTTCAACGTTAAAGCACTAAACTAAATCGAAATAGCTGCATGGAACATCCATGAGGATTGTGAATCAGAAACATATATTGTTCCCATGCAACAACACTTTTTTCGGCACTCTTTCCGCTGATGAGATCATCATCAGGAGATAACTAAAATTAGCATTTTTCATCCATAGTTTTCAACTTGATAATTTAAGATGTTTCCATTCATGACGCTGATAGTTGAACATAGTTCGACCAGGATAAACGAATATGCTGTATTTTAGGCTATTTCTTAGTCAGTGTATATAAAGTCGCACATGCTCTGAAATGGAATGAATTGGCATTCACGGCTAATATAGACTATCGGATGAGTGTTGTGCACTTGGCGCCGCTATGAATGGAATGCCGAAGTGCGTTGGATATTTTTAATTTATGAAGAATCAAGAGTACCGAAGGTCAAGTGTTTTCGTTAATGACTAAAGCCGAAATTATATTATTGTGTCGTGGGGTGTCGTGACGCGTCACAAGTATATCGTATCCATACATTTAATATGTTTAGAATTACATTACTATAGTGCAGTCTGTCGGGACGCGATCTGTCGTGACGGCGATCGGTCGATTCCCGATCGGTGTCAGAACGATGGTGGGGTTATGACTCGTCAGAACACTCCACACTAAATAGTATGTTTCTAATCTGACGCGTTAACTAGCTAGATAATAGTCGTTTGTATTTATTTGTGCACAAGATGGCGAACGAATTTATTGAATTGGTTAGAAAATACGAGTTTGCATTTTTTTAATATCATTTTCTAACATAGAATTGATTTTTTCACATCCTGAAATCTTTCTTCATCACTAGTAAATGATATTCGCATCGACTACCTCTCAGATCATTTACTGGATGAACCCAATATTTTCTCTTTTTTCTTTTTAAGTAAACTTTACATTAGCAGACGCCCAAGATTTTCTTCAATATCATTATCCGAATCGGAAGAAAACATTGTAGATGTTCGCAAGCGTTTACTCCAAAGGCCACCATTGTATTGACTCGAAATAACGTCAGAGCGCGCCCCGACACGACAGAATAGTTTGCACACTCGTCGTCACGTCAGAAAGCATCACAACACAACGATTATGGACATAATCGTTGATCATAACACACCACAACATAATAATGTAATTCCGGCTTAAAAAACAGATTAGTTTACAGATTAGAGGCTCATATCGCGGTCCACTCTGTATTCGATTTTCATGTAGGTACCGTCCAAAAGATTTATTTGGGATCTGTTTTTGCGGGTGCGCAAAAAAAGCTGAGTGACCCTCGCCTTTTTTCATGAGAATGAACACGAGTTAGTTATCGTTGGGTCTCAAAAGATAATTTAGAAAATATATTGGGTTCTTTTTCGGAGGTCAAAATACGTTTAGGCGGATTAACCCATTTTATTTTCCGGAAATTGCGACTTTTGTAATGGTGTATTAGACATGTTGCAATTCCGTATTCGAATCTGATAGTTGGATAACGGATTGATCTTGACCCTGAGAAAAATGACATCTCCGGGATGTTAGGTTAATCGGCATCGGGAGGTGAGCATTAATTTATTATTTCATAAGTTTCATTGTGGTGAATACGCTTATTAGTTCTTAGCAAGGCGGTATTTCGATTCGAATGTAATTTCAGATGTTATGGATTTGCGAAATTTCGTACATTCGAGCAGTAGACAGTTTCAACTAACCATAAACGCTATATTGACCAGAGCACTTCATTGAAACCGTAAGAACTCAGGATTTCATTGTTTGGTAGACCTTGGGCCAAAATAACTTACAAGCTGTTGATTATTTCCGCCCTGGATGGCTACTGCTGTCGATCTTCGAGGAAACGAATGCTAAGTACCTCGCAGAAGATTTGAAGTTTCTTTATTTAGTGTTGTTGAAAACATTTATCGTTATCGTTTTTTTTGTTACAAAAGCAATGAGTCGTACTGTTGAGTTAGGTCAATTAAGAAATTGTTGGACGTACTTTCACATTGGATAAATGTCGTTCAGCGATTTCGGGATCCCTTTTTCCTTGATTATATAAGGAGTATACGTAACTTTCGGAAGTCTTTGTTAATTTGTCATTATAGTGATTAAAAGTTTCGTGAAATGAGTCTGTCGTTGTTTAGTGGTTTCTCTCTTCAGACATAGTCAGCCGGAGCAACGCAAAACTACTTGGCGCCCATGGGCCACGTTTATTGTGTATGCAATTTTTCATCGATCTGCACGACCCTGAAAGCACACTAATTGCCGTACTCAACCCCACAAAACTATTTAATTATTTTTTCTTGTAGATTAATAGACAAAACAGGAGGACGTAATAAATGAGCATTGCATTTTTGTAAGTTGGCTATTCTATGTTTATGTACTCGTATTTGTTGTTTATGTCAGTTATCGTTTTTCTCTCTCTAAGTTTCTGACTTTTGTTTCCATTCAGACGCATAAAGCCATTTGTCAGTTGTGTTATTCGTTTATAACCTCACCTCACTGAATATAAAGAGAAAAACGATTTACAAAAAGCAAATACAACTCAAAAACAACTGAAAAATAGATATTTCAAACATTTCCCAAATCTGACAACTGACAGTAATGGGATATTCACAGAGTCCGAACTTAAAAAAAACGTTTGCTTCAAATGAAAACCTTTATGCAATATAGGGTATATTGGTATCAGTGTGTACTCCGACAGGTAACAATGTTACCTATGTTGTGACACCGACAGGTTTGTTCTGGTTCTGCGAAATTCAGGTTCTAGGACGTCAGGATCATGCGCAGTTGATATAATGCGTTCTGGTTTATTGAGGATAATTTCGGACTAATGAATCCTCTGTTCTGGTTTTGACTGCGAAATGATCCTAAACTGTTTTGAACCGTCCCGAATCGTTTTTGTCCGAGACTATTTCGGACTGTTTGAGATTTTTTGTTTGTACGCACCATGTCTTGCGCAGTTTCCAAACGTTTTTGGGATGTTAGAACCAGAACAAACCTAATTATAGGTATTTAGATACGACGCATGTCGGAAATATCAAATATACGTCGAACGATAAAAAAATAAAGTCGCATCGGCTAATTTTACTCAAACTACAGCAAAACTCAAAATATCACATTCAGTTGTACCGATAAAGCGTTTATCATTTGATTTCATCATTTATGATGATTGGAATTTCCAAGTTAATTGTCAGAAAAACATTAAGCTAAGTTTAATGTCGAAAATATCAAGCTTTCTTAACACTTGTACCTAAAATAACTGCAAAAAATGTTTGAAACAGGAAATAAGTTTTAAATAGATTAATCTATAACAACGAACGCCTCACGTTATAATTTGGCTCCTGTGGTTTCGAAGGGGAAAAATCTCTGTTCACTTTCTAATTTGAAAATTTTGAATTATTCGTTGTTTTTACCAGAACAAATCATCGTCGAAAATACTGTATTGTGTTGTTTCCGTGCACAACCCATCCCAACTTCGATCTAGATAAAATAGGTTGGTTTTTTCCTCCTTCGTGGATTTCTCTAGCAATGATGAGATCAATGTTGTCCTGTCCGATAACAATTTGTGGTTTCACACAGTGCATAGATTCAATATCTACTTTTTGAAAATGATTCCATTTCTTAGTTAGACTTTTAGAGTTCATTGAATGTACAGGAAGAGATAAGTTATGGATAGTTCTAACATTATTTTAATCGTACTCAGTATCTTTCCTCTTATCTTCAAACTGATCTTCGAGTGGAGTTCTTCACAGGACATAGAATTTGTCCAAATGAGATTCTGGCGGAATGGTGGCAAACTTGCTCTTCGGAGTTCCCCAGTACTGTTTCAGGTTCTTTATGTAACAAAGGATGATGTTTGTAAAGGCAGGCCATTAACATCACATATTTTCTTGCTTTTACAAAGTTTTGTGTGATGTGATGAGTATCATATATCAGAAAGTTGATCATTTCAAAAAGTTTTTCAGAATTAAAATCTCAAGTGTTCTAGAGAAATTCACATTCTGCTTTTTTCTCCCCTCCTTATTGTGTAATACTATTCAGTTGTTTTTACTGGTGGAAAAATTTCACATCCTAAATTTCTATTATTTATATTTGATAACCTATTTTAGCAATTGAACATGTTTTCTAATATATTTTCCTTCTTGATGCTTCTTTTGGCCACGCTCGGTTGTATCACCCAGTATGCGAAAAAATAATTTTAAAAGATAGTATTTATCGATATGACTGCGAAAAAAAATTGAGCAATCCGAAAAATTGTTTTCCTTGATAGCATTGAACCGAGGGAATCTTGTTGACTCACCCTGTATATACACTACATATACAACAGAGATACTGAAGTAACTTGACTATCAACAACATCTACTGAACTTACTGTCAATCAAGTCAGGAAAAAAACTTGAAATCTAGTTATGAATAGGAGTGGATCTAGGAATTTATTGAGAGAAGGCGCACTTGAGATACATTTTTCACTATACATGAATAAAAAGAGTTTAGGACTGGCCCAGGCCAGGTGATGCATCCAAGGTGATGGGGGTGCCCCCTGGCTGGATCCGCCACTGGTTACAAGACAGCAATAAAATGCTGATATCACGTATGAGACAACATATGTTTTCAACACTTTTATATCCTCTAATATATAGGGTACTCAGAAAAAGCGTGGTGTATCAATGAGGGTTTTGAAAAATAAATTTAGATATATTGCTTTTCTTGTTTGTAGGTACATATATCTAATTGTTCAGAAACAAAAGCAATCCATAAATGTTTGGGTGCCGTAGTAACTGTTCAACATCAACTGCTTTCGAAAATTTTTTATTATTTTTTGTGACGTTCGCAGTATATATTTCTGCAGATTTTTTTCGGGCGAACATATATTACCTCAAAAACTACTTGCTGGAGTAGATCAGGAAATTTTTGCACGATTGTTACTGGTTGACCCGATGTTAATGAAACTCCGTACATTGGAGCTGTGGTGTTGTACCGGGTTTTGCATAATCTTGCCGGGGTTCCAGGACATAGTCCCGCTGGAGAAACATTCGCAGCTCGACCTAGAAAAAAAAATCGATATTTATCGAATGACGAAGGTGACAAATTCCCATTGTAAATTGAGACGAGAAATTTTATTTCGGTTAAAATAAAAATGAATAGTTGAAATTTTAGATGTCAACATTTTTCTTTAATCCGCAGTATCCACCCAACATGTTGCATATCACCAACTTGAGAAAGATATAAAAACGCTTGTTCTTGTGATTAAACGATCGTCGTATATTTTTAAAGTCTGATAAAGACTTACTGAGGAATCGTGAGACATATTGAGTAATTTATTAATATGTGAGTACCTAGAGCAAAATCTATTTTTGGTGATATAATGTACCTATAGTTTATATAGTATTTGGTAGTGTAATAACCAGACTTTACAAAAGTCATAATTATTTAATATTTACATCGATAAATAATACTTACCTTTTCTGGTTAACGAAGGAGCTTCTCCAATATTCTGTTGATGGGCTGCAAGTAAAGCATTTCTTGTAAGGAAAGGATCGATCGTCTTTTGAGATCTCCCACTTCTAAAATTTCCAGACCATGGATTAGATCCTCTGAACGACCTTTCTATGGCGGCACTGAAACAAAAATCAATACATATGTATATGTTGAAAAAAAATCTATTTTTCCGTTAATTAGCTGTCGCCCCCGTACGAACTACAACTCTCAGAAGTTGAGGAACTTGTGCGAGCTAAGGACTAACGTATAATGAAAGTAATATTCAACAAAATGACTCATTGATTGGTACACAAAGCAAAATAAAGGAGGACTACAACAGATGATATCGATGAATTTTACATTTATATAGAAACTATATAAAAATATTTGGTGGATTTGCCGATAATGGATGAAAATTCCTGGTGATGTCATTGAGTAACAAGTTATTTGTGAGATTTTCACTAAACGGTTTACCAACCACAACACATATTTCACTATACAATAGCTTTTTCAGGTGTGTTTAATACTAACACCCCTAGTACTTACGTATATGTGAAATCATAAATCATGTATTATAAGCTTTTACTTGAGACAAAACAAAAATAAATCAATATTCAACGACCGTACCCCGGAAATTTTTTTGGGTGAGGTGGTAATGAACACGACATGTTCGAAAATTAGATGATAGATACAAAACTGCTGAGTATCAGGGACCGCTACAAAAATATTTTCTTCAGTTTGAGGAAAACTGAGTCTCATTCGTAAAAGTAATCTCTAATAAAAATGTTTCTGATTAATTAGACAATCAACAAAAAGAAAGTATATGAAAAATCAACTGAACAGTCAACATAAACATTTTCATAAGCCATACTCATAAAAATATATCAGATCAAAAAATTCAATTTTCTTGCTCTTTTGGCTGGTTAACAGATTCTTCCACAGGAACAGCAATGTTTATGAACACACATTGAAGCTAACCCGTTTAGTCTCTCTTCTCCAGTTGAATTGTTCAAATGAGTCTTTTAAGAGTTGAAAAAAACTCGGCTGTGCAGATAGTGACCGGCAGTTGACAAAAGTCCGCAAATTTTTCATTGAATTTCAACTGCATTTTTGATTGAGAAATGGAATTGCAACTGAAAGACGAAAATATCTCTCTGTATACTTTGAATTTACATTTATTCCATGTTGTCTGTTTAAAAATCTGTTTAAAATCTGTTTTTCCGTTAATCAGCTGTCTCCCCCATGTTGTTGTTTGAATAAATCCGTCGAATTGTAAAGTTCTCGTTTATTAATGAATTAAATGTTTGCTCACTTCCTCGGCAGTTGCTAGAATTAAATCCACATGGTCTAAAACTGATGGACGTTGCAGGTTTTTACATAAGTATATGGTGTGTGAATATAAAACAGTCTAGCGAACGAAACTTTTCAACAATTTGAATGGAGGAAGGAGATCGACTGTGAAAATTATTTTCCAGAAGTATCTAAGTTTGAATCATTACTCAATTGCTTCGATGTGTTCATGATTGAGGAAAACTTCGTTTATCTTTGGATAGTCGTGGATTAAATATTCTCGATCCATTAGATGGCAGCTTCATGAGGAGAGAATTCACCGCACTTTCTTTCTAAGGCTTGTATTTGAGGAGAGTTGCGTCCAGTAATGCATTTGTAGAACAGGATAATACCACTGATGATAACTCTTGCGGATCGAAATAACGCTGCCTGGAATTGGATCATGAATGCTTTGTTTTAGGCTTTGGTTTAAACTAAATTCCATTATTACTTCATACTTACATCTCTTTCAATTTCAATAACCCATCACGATTGTCCATCCCTCCGTGCGAATCAAATTTTTGAATAGTTAATATGTTTTTTTTTTAATTTTTTCGTCTAAGTTTCATAGAGGTTTTGACGCTTGTACCTGCCGTTTCGGCGTTATCAATATTCGTCTGTAATCGCCAAAAATTTCCAGAATGTATACCTCAAAGTCAATGTTCTAAAAGGGTTATTTGATGAGAGTTTCTTTTTTTAAACGGTTTTATTTAGCTTGCCCTGTTTGTCTGGGTCAAATTTAGTAATTGAAGTTTGACCCCTTCCTGTTGACAGATTGATCTGAAATTTAGTACACTCATTCAGTTTTGATGGCAATACAATTCAATAAATTATGTATCATTTTATATTCAAAATGGCCGCAGCTACAAAATGGCGGATTATATATTGTTTCATAACTACCTCAATATGGGTATCAAATTCAAGCTGGCCGTATCTACAAAATGGAGTATTACATATTTTTCCACAACTACCTCAATATAGATATCAAATGACAGGGCTTGACTAGTAGAATAGTAGTACACTTTGAAAAAGATGCAAATTCAAAATGGCCGCAGCTACAAAATGGCGGATTACATATTATCTTGTAATACTGAGGCACTAAATGAACTAAACAGAATGAGAAGAATTGAGAAACAAGATTAGAAACTTGAAAATTGAAAATAAAATAAGTAATTAAAAAAAATATGTTAAACGGTTTTATTGAAGAAAAAAATGATAATGTAGATACTGAAAACTGATAATATTTCGGAAGTTCCTAGATAGCAGTTATCACACCACTCTACTCAGCAATCTACGGTATTGGTCATAAAAAAAATCGTTGGGCGTAGTACTTATTTACTCAGATTACGCTACGTCCATCGATTTTATTTATTTTTTTTGATTTGCTGAGGAGAGTGGTGTGATGACTACTACCTAGGACCTTCCCCGAATTATTTTTTAGCTTTCAGTACATTATCTACATCATTATCAGTTTTTCAATAAAACCGTTCAACATTTTTGTTATTAATTGTATTTACTACTCGAAAACCGACTGACATGTCCATTACTTCATTCAAAAGTTTGTATCTTGATTCTGGTTCTATAGGTCGTCAGCTGAAACTCGATACTACCCGCTTCGGAATAAAGCAAGTAAATGTTGTATTGTGAAATTGAACTTTAGACTCTCAATTGGGTCTAAATATCATTCGGGTTTTCAAGAGGTGCTATGACCGACATTCGATATTGAAGAGCCAATTGAGGAAGAACCTAATTCAGTAGATTTTTTTCGACCACCGCAGAGAAGTGATCACAATAGGACAGCCAAATAATTGGTCATGCTATTTTTAAAATGAGCCTGCGAGGAGTCAAAGACACTTCAGGCTGATGCCACGCTATGGTTTTTTTCCCGAAAGCGATTTTCAGTTTGAAGATGGATTCCATGAGAGCTGTATGTGTTGTTGCTCTAATACTAAGAAGCAGAAAAAAAAAACGTCATCAAAAATTTCGCAAATATTGGGTTCATCCACGGATTAGCCGAAGACTTAAGAAAGGTTTCTTTCATAAATAGTATCAAGATTTAAGAAAACACCCTGAGAAATCTTTCAACTACTATCGGACGTCTGTCATTATTTGGCACACTGTGTGCCGAATAATGACAAAACCGCCCGTCGTTGCCGCGTCAAATATGCGGTAGAATATAAGTTCTATGAACTACAAATTTTGGCGCGGTTTTTTCCCGCTAGCCAATCTGTAACAAGTCGCGGAAAAAAACCGTCAGTCCGGCCGCTTCCATTAGTTTTTTTTATTCACAAAATCAGGCGGTTAAAATCCGCGGCGGTTTAGTCGTAGTGCGGCCTAAGCCTTGAAAGTAATAAACAGAAGTTTCAAGAGCCAGCGATTCACGCGGTTCATAGGTTCGGATTAGTGTAAAGTTTTGCAAGACAATTTTCATTTTTGGTTTCAAAGTGTGAAAGGTTGATTGAGTTGATTTTTTGCCGTTCATTCACTTTCGAAGTTGAGTTTTTAGTTGGATATTATTTGGACATTGAGTCAAATTTTATTTTATTTTGTTTATTCAGAGGGCGTGATTTAATTATTCAATCAGGGTTTTCGTTTATTTTATTATTTGTGAAACGCTCTGAAAATAATTATGGTAACCGACATATTCTGCCTTATGTGAAAAATTCCTTATGCGAATCTTTGGTGCTTTCAGTTTTCAATTATGCGGATGTCCTTTATGGGTCATGTTTAACCAATCAATACAAAAATAGGATTCAAAAAGTTAAAAACTCGTGCCTAGGTTAATTTTTGGTTTTGGTCACAGAGGACATATGATCTCATATAAGCTTCAAGAAATTGGATGGCTGAACATGTAGAAAAGGAGGTTACTTCACGCTGTCTGTTTTTTCCATAACATAATTGTAACAAAAAAGCCTTCATATCTTTATAGGAAAGTCACATATCGTACGGACATCCATAATCTGAATACTCGATATAAAAATGTGATTGCATTGCCAAAATTCAAAACAGAAGTGTTCAGGCGGTCTTTCAGGTGCCAACTACAATTCAGTATGTAGTGTTTCTATAAACCAGAAATTAGATTTTTGTTTGTATGTTTCATTGTTATTACTAATAATTGTAATTACTTTAATAAATTTCATTTAACTCACATGTTTTTTCTCTTTAAGTGTTGGGCATGTCGTATAAATCGAAAGAGAGTAATGACAAGTTGCCATTTTCATGAAACCTTGCTTTTGCCAATTCCGAATTCGATTCGGGTCGGACATACTGGGTGTTTGAAACCAACATACCAACGACTTAGGACTTTTTAAGAACTTTATAGAGCTTTTTTCAAAATTCAAGGTCCACGTTCGTATATACAGTTTCATTTTCTTGTGACAATAGCCTGATAAACTAAATATCGATATTAAGTTTTCCCTCGTTTGAACATCTAACAATAGATAATTATTAAACAGTAAACCACCCCTGATGAGCCCATATGTTGATTTTTTTGAAGGATTTCCAATAATTTACTTGTTTCAGATCTTGGTCGGTTTTGTTCAATTACTTGTCAAATAAATTGATATATTTTTTTAAATGAATAATAATATTTCCATTTTTGTATTATATTGTGCTGTTTTAAGCAAGTGTGATTGGTTGCAGTGATCGAAAAAAATATGCACCAGTTCTATTGTGAAAACATGGATTATACCAAGTTCGAAATTTTTACCTTAAATCGTTCTTTTCCAACTAGATCAACATTTTGCTATATTTTACACAAAAAAAATAATTTGTCGCCGAACTCATTACCGATAGTTGGTAACCATTCTAC